GTCGAAAGCGAATTGGGAAAAGGAAGCCGATTTTGGTTCACTTGGAATGTTGAATCAATACCCTCCACGACTCAACCAATAGCAGATTGTCAATCTAATTTATCATATCCTCTAACCGGACGCACCGGACACATTCTCGTGATTGATCCTGTTACCGCGGCTTGTGACGCTTTAGCCAAGTTCATTGGTAATGAACGAATCGAAGCGTTTGGTACAGTGGAAGAAGGTATTGTGTCCGCGAAAATACGGAAAGAACAAAACGATGTTTATGAATATGTGATCTTAAATGTTCTCGAAGATAATATGGACGATATTAAAAGAGCGATAAGAGAATTAGGAATTATATGCGGAAAGGATCACTTACGCATTGTACTAATGATCTTTTGGTCATCCGAGGGGCAAAGAATGGCGAAAGAAATTGGAGACCAAGTTATCATACTGCGAAAACCGGTGACGCCAAAACGACTGTTGAATTGTTTACGCTGCAGAGAAACTAATAAATCGATACCCGATGAAAATAGAGAAAAAAGCCGACATTCACCACAAATTAACGATTTGCGGTCGCATTCAATCGATGAAGATATCAATATGTCAATTGATGATGAATTTTCTAGCAATAAGAACCACGATGGGGATTCATTAAAAAGAGCGAATTTAAAAAGAACATGCCCCGAGGATGAGGACACACAAATTACTGATGGGGATCGCAAGTTAAAGTCACGAACGCGTTTTAATTCTAAATCAAAATGCATACTGTGTGTGGTAAGTTTTCTCTTTAAAGTATACCACAATCACGTATAAACATTGATTAACTGCATTTCGTATGTTATTTTATAGGAAGACAACCCTATAAACTTAAAGGTCATACAACATCAACTTATGAGACTTGGGTATCAATCACTATCCGCGACAAACGGACAGGAAGCCGTAAATTTAGTGACGGAGGCTGCCAACCATTCAAAAGACAAGAATTCCTCTTCGATCGATTCACCTTTGAACTCTCATGAAGAAATTTCTTTAATATTGATGGACTGCACGATGGTGGGTAATTAATATTTGTACAGTTTGTAAATCATTCGTCTAATCTATCCTCTCATGTAGCCAATAATGTCAGGATTTGAGGCTTCAAAAATTATAAGAGCGATGAAACCACCAATATCGCAAATACCAATCATTGCTCTGACAGCTTCGGCTGTTCAAGGTTCAAGAGAGAAATGCCTTGAATCAGGAATGAATGATTACCTCACGAAACCGTTGAAGATGGCACAGCTCGAAGAAATGCTGCATAAATGGTTGAATGATTGATCAATATCAAACCATTATGAAGATGACTGGTTGAAATCAAACCTCTTTGTAACATAGCTAAAGTCCCCTTGATATAATTTAACGCATATTTATCCAATTTCCTATTCCTCTTACTGCTCTTTTTAAAAAAATTTATTCCTTTACACTGATTTTCACCTTTTTAATCACCAATTTTCTGAATCAAATTATGTCTTTTCGAAATTCCTAATCATCTAAGCATCTCTAAGATAAACAAACAAAAACTTCCTGTTACAAAAAAAAAAAATCACTTATGACAATTTCATTTGGGTAATAACAATATCCCGATTTGGTGGGCAAAAATAAATCTCGATAATGAATTTGTAAGCCATAAAAAAATTTGATTTCACAATTTTATAAAATATATGTATTCACTTTTAATTACATACTATTTAATATAAGATTAAAAAAATCAAAAACATTTTAGTTTAAAAAATACTGTATATTTAATTAATCTTTATTGATATATATAATGTATGATATCAAAATATATTCTTATGGATTCATACAAACCAGTATCTACTGTATATACTACTTGCAGATTATTTTATACATTGTATTTTATATTCAATAATCAGAAATCTGTTATTATAAGTAAATTTTTTTGTAATATAAAAAAGGAATTTATATATACACTAGTTGAAATTTGATCATTTGATATATCAAATTATTGTTAAATTTTTAAATTTTTATAATTAAATTTAAGCTGAATTTATGCTATTTGGTGTCACTTGACATAAAATTAAATATAAATATTTGTTAAACATTCATGAATAATTTGACTATAACATTATAATATTTAGCAATGTAAATACAAATATTTGATAGATAACTTAATCATAATTTAACATATTTTATATTTAAAAATTTGATGAATTTATATATATATATATATTAACAATTAATTTCATTATTTAAAAAATAAAAATAATTAATAAAATTTAACAATCATTTATAATTATAATTAACAAAAAATTTATTAAAATATGATAATAAAATAAAATAATTTGAATATAACAAAAAATCGCTTATATAAATTAAGTTATTTATTATCTTCTATTTCTTCTTTCTTTTCTTTCACTTCTTTTTCTTTTTCCTTAATTAATCTTATTCTAAGTAACCTTTAAAATCCATTTTGTACTTTTTTTTTTTTTTTTTTCAATTGTTTTTTTCTTGTTGATTTTTATATCTTCTATTGATTTTGTCTTAGTAATTGCCTCCCTGACTTTACTTATTATTGTACTTTCTTTAGTTTGATACTCTTTCAAATATATAGATGATTCTTTAGCAACCTTTTGTTTTTTATGTTTTTCTACTGATTTTTTAGCTTTTTTCCTTCCAAATAGTAAGCCCAATTCAGCAAATTTTTGGATAGTATTACATTATAATAAGTCATAATCTTATAAGTTCTCTTATAAGTTATTTTTATATTTTGAATTGTTATTAAATATTTGTTTAAACCTTTTTTTAGCAAGTTAGTTAACTATATTATAAATAAATATTTGATATATAAATATTTGGTAAACAAATATTTGACTTTAATGATATTTAAATATCTCATGAGAATATCAACTATAATCATATATGATTATTTTTCTTTTATCACTTTCTGAATTAGTTTTACTTTTTTCAAGTGAATAAATCTTTATTTTTTTAAAGACATTAAGCAATTCATCTTAATATTTTATAATTTTTTTAGACTTTTTACTAATTAATGATTGTATACTTTTAATTCTTTATGTCTTTTTTTTTATTATTCATTAAAAATTAGTATATATAAAGTAATGTATATATATAAGCCTAATATTCTTATTTTACTTAATCAACTGTTCACATGCAAATACCTATTATTTACCTCTAATTTTTCTGATTGTAATTTTAGGTATCTTCCTTTTTGGTGACAATATAAGGTATCCAACCAGTTATATAATTGTTTTTTCATAAAAGATTAAAGTTTGAAATCATTAATCTCAATAATTCGGGCATTAGCCTAACTAATATTTTTTTATTTTCAGAACTTGAAAAAACTTTGTCTATTTTTAGTTTATAATATTTAGAAAGTATCTTTATAAGGATTTTCATTTCATTTCTTGTTTTTCTTGGATCTGACTCATAAACTGCTTTGCCCTTACCCTTTGTATCTCTAACTGATCAAAACTTTTGTTTTTATAAACTTAACTGATGTTTAGTACTTTTATAATCTTTGATATTTTTAAAATCAACACAATAGTAGAAACACCAGCAATTTCATTAGAGAATCAAATAATAGATTACCTCAGAACACTAAAAGACAATTATAATGAAGGAGATCAGAGATGGCTTCATGCTCTCATAGAAAACAGATCAACTAACATATCATCTGAAATCTTAGATCTAAGAGTACTTATAAACATCACAGTTATCGACGCTGTTGCTGCAAGGCTTCTCAACATTGATTCAAAAACGGCGGTCAAATGGGCTCTAGCCAAGGAATATATCAAACAAATATG